TTTGCTGATTTTCACCGGGCTAACTATAAATACAGCCGATCACAGTGGTACTATATGTTCAAAGATAACCGATGAGAGAAACAAATATAATAAAGAACAGATATAAAAATAGAAACGGATATAACAATCTTCTTCTAATTCCGATTTTTTGGTTAATTTCAAGATGAAAAATCAACTTAATAAGTAATTACTCTGTGAAATCTGCGATCCTGATTGAGCAAAAGATAAAGGTGCCTGGTAATACTCGTCTGCAGGCTCTGATTTTGGTTGAAAGTCCGACCTGAAATTAGATTAAGTCAACACAATGCCTAACGTTGGTTCCACAAACAAAGTCAGAAAATAGCAAATCTAAAGAAGTAAACAGTTTCAACTCTCTCAACTAAAATATGAATTTGAGTAAACAAACCGATAAATATCTGATGGCTCGCTGATTGAAACCTGGCTTTGGAGTGTCCGGGAAGGACATGGTACACCATTGCAATTCAAGAAATTGCACGTTTGATAAGTTCGTTGCGTACTTGTAGAATTCGACTGGTTGCTATTTTGGGTTTCTACTGGACTCACTGTACAGGTAATGTTCTGGTGGATCTACAGAAAAAGCACCAAAATTTTCAGGGTGAATCATTGATTAATAATAAACTTTTATATATGTTTTGCACCAATCCATACCGTGTTATTTTATATTGCTTTTCAGAAATTTCTATAATCTAAAGTTTTTGCTGCTGAGATATCAGAAATACATGTGGTATAGTCGCAATATAATTTGTAAAAAGGCTTAAAACTACATGAGAAAACCAGATGAGATCTGCCCGTTCACCGATTTATGGAAAGAATGAACTCTAACATGATATTTATGTTGATGCATTTGAACTGATGCAGAAGTCAGTTCCGCGGCACCAGTTGACACAACTGGTCTAATTCTGACATTCTGCTGTTGAGTGCAGTGTGTTACGGAACAAACGGAATTAGGTGCAGTAGATGAACTGAATCCGTTCTGTCGTACACCAGATGGTCCAGGTGGAGGTGTTGTGCGTCGATTCCCACCAGCACGACCGATCTATTTTCAAAATTTTGACTCGAGATTTTCGTAAATCAAGTTTATCTTGTGTGAGTACAGTGTGCATCGTGCGTGAAAAAAAGCACCGTCACTTTGAATTAGAAATATGTCTCAAACTATTTAAATCACTAACTACTTGAATTAGTAATGTGACAGACATAAACAGAACATTAACTTCATTACCAAAATAATCAGAAAGAGGTCAAATTTTGAGAAATCGCATAACTGCTAACTGCGTTTAAGGAAAGCCAAGTTTTTCATAACATAATTTATTTTAACGGATTAAACTTTCTTTAAAGTCAAATTTGACTTTGTAAAATATTTTATCTAACGAACAAATTAAAACACAATTCGCATTTACTTGTATATAATCTGAAAGAACTTGGTGATTATCAGAGACCGATGAAACGGAAGGCTGAGAGGTAGATAACTGCTGAATTCCAGCAACTGGCAAATTTGATATATCTTTGTTATCTTGAAATACCTGAAAGGTTCCTTCTTTTTTGTATGATTCCATAAATTATAAGTAGCTCAAAAATTAAACACGAAAATATTACCTTAAAGAGGTCGGATGTATCGGCAGCATTAGATGCTTTTGCATTCGGGTCGAGCACCAATAAAGGTAAATTTGTATTTGTCTGCTGGGATTTAGTGATGGATTGCAAAAAATGCTCAACCAGGGGGGAAAATTGAAACATTGTTGCACTTAAACCTAGAATATAACTGAAAATTTACCACTAGTAATAAGAATTCAATAATTTCGTGGAACTAGAATACTGAACACTGCAGATAATGGTCACACTATCTTCTAAAAATAGACAGAGGTTCAGAGCATGCAAAAGAAAAGACTGAAGCAACGCACATACTCAAAATCGAAGATAGAATAACCGGTATTGCTCTTTATTGCACTTTAATTAATCTTATTAATTCAGTATGCAAAACTGTTCAATATATCAGCAACAATATGAAACATAAAGATATCCAATTCATATGCAATTTGAACCAATACTGCTTCAAGAGAAAAATTAAACATCTAATTTCGTCAACTGAAGAAATTTTATTTAGCATTAAACAGAATGAATCTGACAAAATTCATACCGGGTGAATTAACACTTTGTGAACCGAATGTACTAATACTTGTACTGATGCTTCCTTTGAAGGTAATCGTAGCCTTTTGATCTCTAACATCATTTTGAGCTCCATTCGGTCCAATTGTTGTGCCGCCTGAACTTCAGATTACCTAATATTTCATATTCTTAACCATAAACTGGAGCTACAATTCAAAAAGAAAACTTACAAATTAAGACTAAGAAATACCTGGTGTCACATTAGCTATCGACGACTGCGGCAAGACTGTTGAAATCTCAATGTTTGCTGGAAAGTTAGAATGTAAGACACAGTTATAAAAAATTCACTTCACTATAATCAAAAGAAAAGAAAACAAGATAATTAAATAAAAAGATACCGGTGAGGAGTGGTTCGTGTTCACCGAAGAAAGCTTGTGTGTGAATATTTGGTGTAGAGAAGTTATTTAAGCTGAGTTTGGGAGTGATGAGTTCGTCAACATGTGTGCCGGCAGAAAACGGTCCTTTAGTGGGTGAACCAAGCACAGTTGGAGTTTTGAGTGTCACATCTGTATTGCCCAAAGCGGTTGGTGTCTTCAAACTATCATTATCATTTAAACTTAGCCCCACAGATTCCGTATTCGAATTGTTTAACGACACTACCGGCTTACTTTGTCCAGCACGCCCTGAAATATATATCTTGTGTCACTAACTTACTAATATATCCTGTACCAACACAGATCAGAAGTAACTTCAGTTTTCCAAATGTTTGCTAAATTTCTTTATTTCTTATCATCGTACCTATTTCTCCCTCTCCATCTGTCAGCTGAATCTTATATTTGTTTCTGACTTTGTTCTTTATCAGATGGTAATAGTAGTTCCAAGAGATCGAGGAAGAATATAAGACACCTCGTAATGATGGAACTGAGAGTTTTGCATCTACCGATGAAGCACTGGTTGATGGTCCTGGTAATGACACATCTTTTCCTGATTGCATCGGCATCCTTGTCGATGAGCTTATTAACTGACTCATTCTCGCAGCTAAAAATAAGTGAGAAATTATGTTATATAGCATCAAACTATTGTTCAATGTAGTTCAACTCAGCTGTTGGCTTCAACTAAAACTCCATTAATCTTCTACCAAAACTGTCAATTTCTAATCCAGCAGTCACCAAATCTTACTTTTTCAGGCAAAAAGAGGCATGTTCATAAAATCACATTCAACTGATACGTTCAAGATGCCCACCTTGAAAATTTTCAAAATTTTCGGGAAATTTCCGAAGATGCTAACAATTTATTTCTTTCTTATGCCCTATAGTGCAGGTATTGTGATGATGTGGTCGGCAGCACCACAGATATAACGGATCTTGAAAATGGATTCATCTTGCAATAGTGCACAACAAAATCACTGATTTCAACAAACATAACAATTTCAACATAATCAAAACAAAATAAAAATAGGCATAGTTTAGACGCTGAAAAACTCAACTACCCGCAAATTTTGTCTTTAAAAACTGCATACTTAACGGCATATTCATGTTTTCCGCGAAAAAGTACTGTTTAAAACAGCATGGTGGAAAATAAGAAACGGGTACTCCACAACTCGCAAACGCCATATATGACATAAATACGAAACACTTACCAAAACCTACAACCCAGACTTTTTTTATATGGTATATAGCAATCGGGCTTTGATCAATAATTCGTGTCTTAAAAATTCTGTTAAGAGTATTTTCACTGGCAACATCTATGCAAATTACTGTCTCAAGAAAACAGGTATGTTTACTGCTAGTTTCAATCCTAGTCACAAGCTTTTACCATGATTCCCACTCTCTATGCAAATTTAAGACGTCACATGTCAGATTTAACTTCACCTTATTCTAAATAATCGAAAACCTAGGAGGATATACAGCGAAATCGCACAAGGACAATTCTGGTAATCAAGATCAGATTGAAATGCAAGTGAATCACAATAAGCTTTAAACGACCGTAAAAATACTGAGAAATGTAAGTTGTTTAAAAAGAGATGATTGAAACCATCAGAACCTAGCAACAAATAGGCTTTAGCTATGAAGATGAATCTTCAACCTAATCCAAAGCAAAAGTCTTACAAATGAAGAATATGTTTATATACAAATAAGTAATAAATAAATCATAATAAACCAGGCACAGGAAGGTCAAGTGAATGCAACGATCACTAACCTTAGGTGATACTAAAGTTAAAGGAATAGAGGTAAGTGATCACAGTAAAATGTAAATAGAACCGCACGCTAACATACAGTTTGCATAAAATTTATTATTAATAAGCAGTCGTTCAAAATGGAAAGCAAACAATATTCATATGATTCGAAATGCGAAGTCATTTCAGATTGACTCGATATGTTAGCAATGTCAACTTCTCATTACAACCTTATTATACGCTAATGCGTCACACAAGTAATAGCGTTAGAAGTGGAACTGCGACAAATTAACCAGAATATATATTTAAACTGAGTATAAGCTAATGAGTTAAATATGGGTGGAAATATGATGAACTGAAGGAGGCGGCAAACACATCCTTTTAAAACTGAAAAGATGAAAATAATTGATTGAAGGAGGGGAGAAAGCTGTAGAGACTGGTTTGAAAAACCACTTTAATATTACCTTATTACTTAGTAGAGGAGAGTGGAACAAACTGATTAATTGCATGCTTTTTTCCATAGTAAAATTTGCATACAGATGAGGAGTTTGAAAACGCAGTAATGAATAACAACTGATACGGTAAGGGAAAGCTTCGAGAGTGATGAAAATGGACGTGTAATTCGAGAAGATGACCTCGCTAAAGGACAACTATCGTGAGTTCACGAGCAACACGCACTTTGCGAATCATAGCAGAACGAATGTGTGGGCGAGTTGAAAAGGAGGAAGAAGGCTACCAGTACACTGTTGTTGGCAAACCAGTGGCGTATCAGGAGAGGTAGGCAGACGGACGGAAGGGCGAATCGAAGTAACGATAACACGGTCTCGATACAGAGTGAGAGTGTCTGGAAGAAAAGGGAAGCAGAGTGCTTCCTTCCTCTGTTGAAGAAAAGCTGCAATCCCCTTCCCACTGAAGCGTTGATGTTGAAGAGGGAAGAGTGCGCAAAAGTGAGGGGACAGACAGTCGGACACGCCACCTACTGTCTCACTGCTACACAATCCCTACACACACACATGCATGGACAGGCAGGAATGCAGTGCACGTGCGCACATCTGGCAGGTATTGAATAAGGCACACTCTCTTGAAAGTTGTCATTAAGTGTCCTTTATGCTTTGCTCTACAATAACGACAGACATAAGAGCTTGATTCATTTTGCCATAAGCGTGAAAAGTATTCGCGGTTTTCTCAGCATTATGTGCTATCTATCCTCGACGAGTAGCTGACTGGCCAGCCTAAACTCTAACATAAAGGAAGTGCAATAAGTAACTTGCACATGGAAGAACGCTCGGGGATTTAACAACGCTTCTACGCTGAAGAGCAATGTGCTGTGTGTAGGTGATGATGGGTGGGTAGATGAATATGTAGGCGTCGAGGGAGAGAGAGTGCGACTCGTAGGAGGTTACGATAGATGAGAAGAAAAGAAGAGAGATCACAGATCATTTTCTGACTCCTACGTTATCTGCCTACTCATAATATTTATCTCAGGTGGATGAGGTAGCACGTAAATATTTGAAGTGATTATACTGGAAAGGTTAGCACATTAGCAGCACTGTCACACTAAGAAGAAAGGTGCATTTGTGTAGTAAGTGGACATGGCCGACCGATGCACAAAGCATTGGCTGTTTCATAAAGGGAGTCATCGCCCGATTTTTCTTGCGTATGTTACCGTAAGTCTCTTTCGCTGTTAACTTTCTAACTCGAAAATGAAAGAGTAGATGAGTATTGGTAAATTAATAAAACTGAATTCAGTAGCCGTGAAGATCTCTGCTTTGAAAATAGCAAGTTTGTTTCAAAAGTGAACTTTACGGGTAGGGAAGAATTGCCACCAATCAATGATATGCTGGAAGCGTTTGCTGCATTTGCGATGACACCACATAGGTAATTATTTTAGATCGCTCAGATCAGAAATGAGCGAAACCTTCACTCTTAGGCAAAATGCAGTGAAATTTGATCGCAAAAACATCAGTATCATTATAATTTTGATTAGATGATTTAGTTTTTAAGACATAGGCAGTGGATAGATTAAACGGCATGGCGTGAAGGTTGGTGCTGTCAAGCGCATTGGATCTGCAGGCGTCCTGCATTAATGAACAAGCAGTTAACGAAATTTAGTACAGTGCGGTGTACTTCGCCTTTGCTGTACCTTGAAATTCACAGTTACTTCATCCATCAGCCAAAATGACATTAAAATTTCTACAGAAATCACTTTTTTAATTCATAGGTGAAAAATGGCTTCAAACAACAGGGATACTGGTTTCTGCGGAGATGCATCAGGTGCTTCATGGTTGAATGATTGTTGTTAGTTAATCAGAGTTTAAGACTGCTCAATTTTTATGAAAGAAGAGATAGGACAGGATCTTACAACTAGTTCCAATCCGTGCAGATGTATCAGCAGTGCAAACCAAACAGAATGTACAAAATTTTAATGAAATAAAATTGTATAGGAATTTCTGAAATAACTGTTTCCAAAAGTCTGCCATGCCATGTAAAATCATATTAACAGTTTGAGACCAAATTTCCTAAAAATTGCATAGTCCTGCACACTTTCGGAAAATCACGCCATATGTTGCATTTGAAAGGGTCTTAATGAGACGTTACCTCCTAGATGTCCTTGGTAATTTTAATATCGATTTGTTTCCCACTTATGATTCAGATAATGTTGCCGTAATTTCACTCTTTTTTCACTTCTTTTTTTCCATTTCGCATCTTCAATGATCCTTGCAAAAGATTTTTATTTATACATAAATTTCCCTTCCAAATTCCATCGACTTGAGTAAATTTCAAAGTTGGATTTTTACCATTTTGAAGCATTATTGAACTTGTATTTCCGTCACTATTCATCAATACTCTTATTATAATTTTCAGCGAATTCAGTCCCGTGATTCCAACTTCATGTTAAAACTATGCAACTTGAAATCTTTATGACACATCAATGTGAAAATTTGAGGAGGCAAATTAATGACTACTTTAAAGTTGCCTGTATAATGTTCTTCATTTGTGTGTCACTTCCAGGAAGTTGCGGGCATATGATAAAATTTACGGCATTTACTTTATTTGGACATATATAAACACGCGAAGACATTCATTCAGAGACCACTGCGACAAAACAAATATAACAAGGCTCATTTCACATTGCGACACGCCGTATTTTGAATGGATTTGAAAATTGTTTTGTGCTCTCAACAGCGGAACACTTTACAAGAAATAGATCTCATCTAAGTGAAGTAAATCAAAATTTATCATCGATGGAATGTTCCCTTACTCATTAATTTAGGAAAATAAACAAAGACAAGCAAAGACAAAACTATTTTCAGTTTTGTGAAATCTTTGCAGCGAAAATGCATGACTTCTCTGACTCACCTAGTTATTTCACTTCCGTAATATTCACTAAATATAGATTTTTGGAAGGATAATTTTTGGTTTCATAGAGAAAAATAGAACCCATATTTTATTGTTTGATTTATAAAAATTAATTAAAATGGAGTTTAACTGTAACTGAAACAGTTTTAATTACAATATCACCAATTAAACAAAGGGAAATGGCCATTCCTGAACATTGATTACTAGGATATTTTTTGGAATACCGGTGGTAAAACAAAACATTGATGAAGAAAAGAATAGGAAAAATAAGTGTCCGAGGAATAGCTATCTTTCCATTCAGGCTATGAGACTGCGCTGTCTTAGCGTCAACTAGGCAGGAACCGGATTTATATAAGATGATAGATCTATCCTACTTTCAATAAATATTTTTGATCTTCCTATATCAGAACAATTTTTACCGAATTGTTCTATTTCATTGTCGCTCAAATATTTCTTCAGCTTTCTCTACAATGCAAAAAGTATACTAGTTGACAATTGTCTTACGTATATATGTTTGAAAATCAGAATTATAATATGTCAAAATAAAATTATGTTAATTCAGAAAAATAATGATTTTCTTAACTGATAACTGTTTGGAAAAATGCCCCAATTTCACATAGGAAATCATTTATCAAATATTTTCCAATTGTACCTGAACTTATTTGCACTATTACAGTTTGTTAGCAGAATGTGTTGAAATTGTTCCCAATTAAATTTACGGAGTTATCAACTTCTTATTTAGTTGACCTCCTTTGCTGTTTCTGAACTTGTCACCTCCTCACTAGCTGTAAATTATTCATGAATTTGACAAGGCCTTCGTTTACTGATCTCCCTTCTGGTTAATGCTTACTATATGTAAAGATTGACAACTACTGTTGTCCAGCTCCATTCAATTAAAATCTTATTTGCTCTTCCTCTCCACTTCGTAAATAAATCTTACAAAATTATCAGTATATTGTTGGTGTAAATTAATACTTATGTACCGTGGTTGTTACAACAGACCTCTTCTCAACACATTAAAACCTAAGAAAGATTCCTTAACAATGAACTACGACTATATATATATATATTTATTTATTTGTACTTATTTTAGTTAGTTATTGTTGTTAACCAGTTTTTTGAAAAAGTCAAATTATTGCATTTGTTCTAACAGTATATGTTTATAAAGCTATGGCTTAGCTTCATCATTCTCTTACAATCCAAGCCATAATGCTGTAATTCTCGAAACAGGTAGGCTGGCCTTTTTCATTCAGTTTTTTCATTCCATACTTTTATTCAGTTGGTAAATAAATAAGTTTTTAGATTCTCCAAGTCAGTCCAATTGCATTCCTAAAACTCAATCAGACTTTCTTCCTGCTTCATACCACTAATTAAAAATAATTTCAAATAATGTGAATACAATTTCTAGCAATTTAATTAGTGGTGAGTGAATAGTATGTATTAATGAATTAATTTCTTATGATTCGTTGTTTTTTTCATAATTTTTTATTCGTATGCTATGCCTTTTTGACTTTTTTCAATTTTGCCATTCAAACTTTGGGAAGGGGAGTTTGGAAATGAACAAATTCAGACTTACATAGAGTTTAATTTCAGCATATTGTAATTAAAGTCGACTGAATTCAATGATCAGGAGCAGTAGAAATCTATTTGTTTCAACATTATTGTTTTAATTCATATCTATTTCTCACATTTCGCGATACCTCATAAGATTTGCAACGTTGAATTGTATATTATTTGTTTTATTGTATTTTCTCTAGCATTTCGAAGTGGCCAGGCATACTAATTCTTAACACAAAAGAAAATTGCGAAAACATTCAAAATGTTGTAAATGTAAAATTATGATCTTTTCGTTTTAAGTTCCATCTTAGGTCAAAGATCAGAATGAAGTTGTTGCATTACTTTGCTAAGTTTGGATAAGATTATATGCAAAATTAAAGCTGACAATGGCTGATGGAATCATTGTTTTTTTTTGTCGCTCAGGTAATTTATTTATATAAACTGCTGCTGCCTATTGGAAACAGAATTATATTGTGTTGCATATTCTGTATTCGTTGGAAAAGTATTTTATAATTTCAATTTTTACGACTTTTACAATGTAACAAATGTTCCATTATTTTAAGTGGAAGGATTGATCATTTTGATGTTAATCTAAATCAAACTTTACTCTTGCTTTTCTCAATCATTTGAACTACGTACGAAAACAAACACTGAGATTCTTTCGCTTTTAAACAATTTTAAATTTCATTTTTTCTTGTTTTTTGCGATAGGAACAATCTTATTTCAAACAGGCAAATTAGGAGACTAACTCTAGAACTTCATCCACCTTACACCGTCGGTTTATTTATGTATCTAGCATTGGTAGGCTGTAACTGGAAGTAAGGCTATGTCAAGGAAATAAGACGTAAAACATTGTTGTTTACTGATTTAGTTGGTTTCTTCTTATTATTATCGTAATTTTTTTCTGAAATTCTTTTGAATCTATACTAGTATTTTCAATTGAACGAAGTGTTTCACGTAATGTTGTCCACAGAAGTAATTGTTATAATGGTATACGCGTTTTCGACAACACTAGCATAAGTGTTTGATGAAAAAAGTTTATGTAGCAGTGTTTGATGACGCTAAAGTAATTCCATTATATGAATAGCAAGAAAGACGTTAGTTAAGCTTTTAAACATTTAGCCGTGATAATTAATTGGGTTGACATTATGACGTTAATGTTGGAACATACATAATACTGTAGGATAATTGTAATCTTATTGTCAAAAAATTAATGCACAAAGCATATAACAACATCATCCTCTTTCCCTATCTTTTATTTTCTGTTTCGACCTTAGGAAACCAAAAACTTCCAAATCAATTCATTATCTTTCAAACCATGTCAGTAAAGACGTTAGTGGAACGCTCTATGAATTCTGAAGCGCTAATATGTATTATTTAAGTACTTTCAATTGTTTAAAATCTCTATTTTGCTTTGACGTTTGACTTTTTAAGCTATCCCGTGTCTACAGAAGACGAAGCGAAAAATGTTATTTGCGTAGTGAGCGAAGATCGAGAAATAAACATGTTGTAATTATTTGGAGCGAAATAGCGAATAAGAAATGTAGTACTCCGTGCTAAAAAGTTATGAAAGATAAGCAATATAGACATCAATTTGAATATTCTGGAAGAAAAAGTCAAAATTTCCTGAATCTGTGACGATATGCATTTACATCTAATCATCAAAGTCTTGGAAAAACTAATTTCATAATAAATCTGTAACCGATCTTATGTTGTCTTTTCCACTTTTTTTCGTTTCTCCGTCCAAGTGTTCATTTCTTTCATCTTATTCTGATATTTTCAGTGAAGTTACTTTATTGTCGAATCTATTAAATATTGTTGAAGCATTTTGCATCTTAAAATATTTTATACGTCTCCTTTTATTACGGTCCATTTAATCCGTTGTTCGAAAAGTTCAAAATTTTCCTTCGAATATTTAAATACAACATAACTTTTCTGCAATGTATATTACAATATTCTCTTTGTAAATAATAGTGTTGTATCCCCATTTCTTTGATAATTAAAAATTCAATATCGCTTGAAGATTAAACATAAAGTAATGAAAAAATGGTACCAAATTATCAATGCTCCAGTCGCGTTAAACGGTAATGAGTATGTTGGTAATACACTGTCACATTTAAACACTGTCTCAAGTGATATCTTCGTCTGTGTGAGTGATTCAGAGAAGCTTCTGCAATATGAAACAACTTCGTGCT